TACAAACATAAAATGATGACGCTGTTATGATCACTAATATTGAAGATCTTATAGTAGACAATTTGGTAGAAGAAGAAAATCCAAATAACCTTGATTACGATATCGAAGATGCGGATCCTGAAGATGAATTCCGTAGTAATTTATCATCTTCTGATGACGAAGAAGAAGATGACGAAGAACCATACTAATTAATTTTAGTCTAAGGTAATATATGTAAATTTTTGTATTTTTGTATTGTTTATATTGTGTACTAATGTGTTGTATTATATGTTTGTAACATATTCTTATCTAATAAAGTGTGTAAAATAATAGCGACTACAGGATGACTATGAAGCGACTAAATGTGATTGGGCTTTCGCAAAATTAAAGCCCATATCCAATAAAACGACTATTTGGCGACTAATTAGTATTGGGCTTTTGAAATTTACGGCCCAGCTCTTACACTCTGCGTTTTGCTCTTTGAAACACTTACACCTAAAAGAGAAACCCTAAACGCCGATCGACCAAACAATCTCTCTTCTTCTTCGACTCAATCGTCTTCTTCTTCGATTCAATCTTCTTCTTCTTCGAGTCAATCTTCTTCTTCGACTCAATCTTCTTCTTCCTCTCATTCGATCTCATCTTCTTCCAGTTCCATCTTTTTTCTCTCACTCAATTTTCTTCTTCGACTCAGTCTCTTCTTTCTTCCATCAAGACGAAATGATGCCTCGAGAAACTAAGGCCGGACGAGGACGTAAGAGGAAAAACGTTCCCAACGTTTCTCAGAGAGCTGGAGGGTCGACTTCTGCAACCAAAAGACCGACCAATCTACCAAGCCAGTATAATTTCACCCCACCAGTTCAAGTCCCTCCGACTCAATCTCCAGCGGAAGAAGGACCAGTTCATCGACAACAGGCAACGTCCGCACAACAAGTCCGGAATTATCCACCACCACAACATCTTTTCCAGAGCGGCGGAACTGAAGAAGTTGATGCCGCGACTCCGACGTCTGCAGAAGTACACTCTCAAGCTCCAGGGCATCAAAGGCAACACTCTCAAGCTCCAGGGGATGAAAGGCAACACTCTCAAGCTCCAGGGCATCGAAGGCAAAACTCTTCGCAAGGCAACAACTTCCAGGAGGATTGTCCTCGAGTCTTGCCAGAACTCCAGGAGAACACAGCCCGAGCTCTCAATGCTCTCCTAGCTATTCCGGATAGACACTTGTATACAACGGTCCTGTCAATCAAAGATTTGCCGAACACAACATGGTATGACACTTGCCTTTTACAATCTTGTTGTGCATGTTGGTGTTGTTCAAGTTCTCTGTTAATTGGTCTTAGAAACCACAAATTAGTCTTGTTGTTTGTCTAAGAAATTAGTCTTGGTGTTTGTCTAAGGTTTTGTTAGGTGAATTAGTCTTAGAAACCAGAAATTTGTCTTGGTGTTTGTCTAAGGTTTTGTTAGATGAATTGGTCTTATAAACCAAAATTAGTCTTGGTGTTTGTCTAAGGACTTGACGATTGAAATTTTTTAGTGTTGTCTTAACAAGTAATGAGGAATCTCTTAATTTAAAGTGCACGTAGTGATGTATAGAGTGTAGAATGTAGTATCTGTTTTTGATATTATTCACAATTTCTAGTTTGATTTCAGTCAATCTCACTTCTCTGTTTTGATTGAATTACAATGTTTACAATTTCTAGTTTGATCTCACTCAATCTCGCTGCTCTGTTTTGATTGAATTCACAATGTTTACTCTGGCTCCTACTTTTGGTTTGATATTTCATGTGCTTGCAGGTTTACTCGGAACCCGAAACTAGTTAAGAAGGTTGTTAAAGTCTTGACTAACAAATTTGATGGACTCTTTTATAACTGGTCTTGTGTGCCTCAGGACAGAAGAGATAGATACTTCATCGAGTTTGCTATATGGTTTTTGTTCTTCCTTATATAGCCTTCACATATTTACTTTTATATTGTTTCACTAACAAGTCTAACATCATTCTCTTATCTTTGTTTTGTAGAAAACTCACACATGGGATCCCTTGATAACAGGCCAAGTGCAAGAGCAATCTGAGTTGATATGTCAACGCCGGTTGAAAGACATGATTAGCACTGTGAGGACTACTCGAGAGCAACCAAGTTGGATCGTAGACACCATCTGGGATGTTATGGTCGCTTACTGGGACACTGAAGAAGCACAACAAAGGAGTCAAACCTACTCCTCTGCACGTATGTCTGACCGTAAGGGTCTTGGTCCTCACGTCCACTTCTCAGGGCCTAAGTCGTTTCAACAAATCCAATATGAAATGGTAAGTTTACTTGCTTCAGTTTAACTGTTATCTTACACCTTCTGATAATTTTTGTTTATTTGCTTACATTTTAGGAACAGAAAATGGGTAGACCTGTGAGTCTTGGTGAACTTTTCGTCAAGACTCATACAAAGCCAGATGGTTCGTATGTCGATCGAAAGGCGGAGAAAGTTGGTGAAACTTATGAGAAGAACGTGCAAGATAAGTTGGCTGAGCTTCAGGCAGATACTTCAGCTCTTTCAGATGCCGCTTCACCACCTCGGGAGCTCACAGTAGACGAGATGACGACCATCTTTCTTCAGGTTAAGTCACATTTTTCCCTCTGGTTACTCTGTGTTTACTTTTTTATACTCACAAAGACTAACTTTCTGGTTTTATCTTACTTTCATAGTCTACGGAGATGGATTCTCGAGGCATTCCTTATGGAGTTGGAAGCCTTAAGGACAGTCTAGTCAATGGCAAGCTGAATCACCCAGGCAACTCTACATCGTTTTTGGCATTGGAGGAGCAACTGAAAGAAGCTCAACGCAAGATCGAGGAGCAAGTTGCTTACAATGCTAAGCGTGATGCAGAAGTGGTTGCCCGTGAATCTGAGCAAGCCCGAGTTGTGGCTGAGCATTCCCGAGCTATGGCTGAGCAAAAGGGCCAGATTGAACACTTGACCATGGTAGCAGAATATCTACGAGAAAATGATCCGCGGTTCTTGGATTTTATGGCTTCCAAATCAGCTGCAGTAGCACAGCCTTCCTCAACCAGTGTTCACCAACCAGCTCAACCTACTACTCCATCTCCACCTTAGGTTACTCTCTCTAATTCTCAGCTATCTTCCCTCTTGAACTCATTTTCACTTTCCTTTATCTGTTGGATTTTGTATCTGTAGTGTAGATACATGAACTTGATGTCATCTGGATTTTGTGTTTTGTTAACATGTACCATGTACTCTTTCCTTATCTAATGTTATAATGAATGGTTTTGGATTTAATAGTTTATGAATGTTTTTGGATTGAATAGTTTATGAATGTTAAGTTTATGTACATAACAAATAGGAACCAAAAACAACAACAGGAACCAAATACAACCATTTCGAATACGAACCAAATACAACAATATTCGTATAAATACAGCTTTCGACTAGTTGCCAAATAGTCGTAACATAGTCACATAGCAGTCGCTCAATAGTCACTATATTTAGCGACTACTACACGTTTTAGTCGTCATATAGTCGTACATTTTGGCATAGCGACTATTGCGCGACTATTGTTGTAGTCGCAGTTTGCCTGTTTTCTTGTAGTGATTGCTTTGAAGCATTAAATGGCTTGTCTAGTATTGTTTGGGGTTAGAATATGTTAGAATACAATAACTTTGATTAATTACAAGTGCTAAATATGCATATAGAGTGTTTAGAAGTGTGTAGAAAGACGTTGAAATTTGGTCCCAAATGGGCTAAGAATCCATAAACATGTCTTTGGAGTAGTAAATGGGTTGTCTAGTGTTGTTTGGAGTTAGAATATGTTAGAATACATTAACTTTGATTTATTACAAGTGCTAGAGATGCATGAAGAGTGTTTAGAAGTGTGTAAAAAGACTTGTTGAAATTTAGTCCCAAATGGGCTAAGAATCCATAAACATGTCTTTGGAGCAGTAAATGGGTTGTCTAGTGTTGAGTGGGGTTAGAATATGTTAGAATACAGTAAATTGGATTGATTAAAATTTTTAAAGATGCATGAAAAGTGTTTATAAGTGTGGAGAAATACTTGTTGAAATTGGGTCCCAAATGGGCTAAGAACTCGGAAACATTGCGTTAAACCAATAAATGGCTTGTATAGTGTTGTTTGGGGTTAGAACATGTTAGAATACAATAATTTTGATTGATTACAAGTGCTATAAATGCATGAAGAGTGTTTAGAAGTGTGGAGAGAGACTTGTCGAAATTGGGTCTCAAATGAGCTAAGAACTCGGAAACATTGCGTTGAACCACTAAATGACTTATCTAGTGTTGTTTGGGTTTAGAATATGTAAAAATAAAATGAATTTGATTGATTACAAGTGCTAGAGATGCATGAATAGTGTTTAGAAGTGTGTAGAAATGTTTGCCGAAATTTGGTCCAACATAGGCTAAGAACCCACAACCATTGCTTTAAGGCATTAAATGGCTTGTATAGTGTTGATTGGGGTTAGAATATGTTAGAATAAAATAAATTTGACTTGTTACAAGTGCTAGAGATGCATGAAAAGTGTTTAGAAGTGTGGAGAAAGACTTATTGAAATTGGGTCCCAAATAGGCTAAGAACTCGGAAACATTGCGTTGAACCATTAAATGACTTATCTAGTGTTGTTTGGGGTTAGAATATGTTAGAATACAATAAATTTGATTGGTAACAAGTGTTATG